AAGCCCCAAGCTGCTTATTGAGGCAGCAGGAGGACTGTGAGTACTACGCTGGCATTGACCGACACACACACACACACACACACACACACACAACCTGCCTTTGCCCGCGTGTGATGTCATTTCAAAAGACAACAAGCCTTATTAAAACAGTACACACACTCTCCAGTCTCTTTTGAAGTGATTCTTCTCTTTTTATTTAAGCTTCCTCTTCAAATATATCTCTCAAAGTGAAGTATTGGAGAAAGAAACACAGTGATGGAGAGAGGGGTGTGAAAAGAGGGGGGAGGGGTGACACTAGTGGATGTACAGCTGTTGGAGCGAGGGGAATCAAAGCAGACAGGCCAACGGCACGGCAAAGACATAATTAGCGAACATGAACATGTGTCATGTGTCACCCGTGAATGCCATCTGCTTTAATTTAAAACTTTACGAAACGGAGGGAGAACACAGGAAGGTAGCGAGGGAGGGAGGAAGAGGAGGGGAGAGGGGTGACAGGCAGGGAGTTCTGGTATAGGAAGCTGAAAGGAAACTGAGATAAAGCCAGAAGAAAAATCAGTCATCATTGATTTAGGAACATTTACATATGTGTAGATGTTCATACATGGTTTTCTTAACCCTGCATTTTTACTTCCACCATTGTGTCATTTTCAATATTTTCTTGCACTATTTTAATGTGTTTTTTTTTCTGTTTGTCTTAGGTGCTGCACTGTTGTAAGAGCCTGGGATGAAAATAAGTCAGTTTGAAAATGTTGGTCGTTAAAATAAATGTGATAAGATCGTGGTAGAAAAATGCTGACTGTTCTGTAGGTTTGAGGTAATTAAAAAAGTTTTGGACAAAGAATTATCCCACTAAGTTTCATTATTCTCTTGGGATAATACTAGCTTATATATTCAATGTAAAAATGTATATAGGCCAGATTTTTTAAAACTCCATTAATACTTAATTCAATGTGTAGAGCTGTAATTTGCACAGTAACTGGTTAATCCCACACCACCATCTCCTGCTACCATAGGACAAACGCATGGGTCCACATATGGTGTTACAGCCATCACATCTTAATCAGTGTTAACATGAAGAATATGTCCCTGCTCTGCTCTGGCTCCAACCACACCAGCAGTACCCTCTCAGAAGAGCCATGCCTCTTCTCAATGAAGGAGACCTGATGTGTTATTTTAATCAACTCGGCCCGGCCGCATTCATTATTCAGCGGGTTGGTGAATTGGGAAGCCCCGCGGGTAGGAAGAGGGAGGGACAGGGGTGCCTCTGATTCACAGCTTTAGGGGGAACAAGAGAAAGGATAAAAGAAGAAGGAAGGAGAAAGAAAGAGGAGATGAGGAAGGAGATTAGAGATACTGCCCTAGTTACCTCCGCTAAAGAAGTGAGGTTATACGTTTGTCTGTTTTAACTTTACATTTCATTTCATTTGGCAGGGGCTTTTACCCAAAGCGCAATAAACCATGAAGATACAAACTCAGAATAATAAAAAACCTACAGGTACATTTGCTTCAAATAATTAAAACCATTGTAAGTGCTGGTGCGTTTCAAGTAACAAAACGTTGTTCAGGGTGTGTTAGGTTTAATGACCAAGGTGCAGTCAAAACAGGTGGGTTTTTAGGCTACGATAGAAGATTGGTAGACTTTCTGTTGTCCTGATATAATATAATATGATCTAAGGGGAGCTTGTTTAGCCATTTTGGAGCCAAGAAGAGTGAGAAGTGGCACAGATCAGAGTGCACGCCCTGGAGTAAATGGTTTAACCATGTCATGGATGTAGTAAGGACCATATCCATTCACAGCGCTGTAGGTGAGTATTGATGTTTGTCAGCAGGTTTAGGAGGTTCAAAGAGCATGGGGCGAGAATAATCCATTCAATTTTGAAGTGGCTGCAATATCACAAGACACACACACACACTTTTTTCTTTCTCTCATGGATGCAGCCTTGGCGTAGGTCAGTGCATCTCGGAGTGCTCGTCTAGTGCTTGTTAGCTTTTTAGTGTGTGTTTGCCTATGGGCAGAAGGCTATTTGGGTACCCATGAGGTTTGGAAACGTGAGTATGTGTGTGCACGGCCAGTGTGAAGCCCCAAGCTGCTTATTGAGGCAGCAGGAGGACTGTGAGTGTGTGTGTGTGTGTGTGTGTGTGTGTGTGTGTGTGTGTGTGTGTGTGTGTGTATCAAAGCTTAAATCCAATCATGATGCTGCTTGATCTAATTCCTGATGCTCAGGCAGGGTGTCCCGCCTCCAATGGAGAAGGGAACCATGGGGTAGCGGAAAAGCGATTGGTGGAGATGCAACACACACACACACACACACACACACACACACACACACACACACACACACACACACACACACACACACACACACACACACACACACACACGTACAGTGTATGGAGTGCTCCTGTGACACCATCCTCAGGCGCAGTGTGTTCTAAAGTGAGTGATACAGCATGTGTGTACACCCAAAAGTGTGTATTCTTGTGGCCAAAACACAAGCGACCTGTGAGTGTGTGTGTGTGTGCCTAAGCAGCTTTGAGAGCGAATCTCACAGCAGAGGCAGAAGGGGAACAGAGCGCCCCCGCTGACACTCTCAGTGGGCTGACACAGAAAGCTTGTTTGGGGGCATTAAATCTTAATACAAATTAACACTGGGGAGGAGAGGGAGAAAATGGAAGGATGAAAGTGAGAGTCGGAATGAGAGGTGGAGGGAACATGATATTAAGGGGAAGAAGAGAAGGTGAGGGAAGCTGTAAGAGCACACAGAGGGGAACTCCTGAGGAGCAGGAAGGAAGGAAAAGAAAACTCTTTCCCCTCCAATCCACAGGAGGATAGCCTAAGATGCCAGAAAAGCATAGCGTGGCACTAAATCAAACCAGTTAAATCATCATGTGTTAATGACTCTGTTACCCGCTTGTCCCGCCCCCCTCACTCCCTCCCACCTCCTTTCCCCTTCGCTAAAAGCCTGTACAGAGGTTCTGTCAGCCCTAATACATCCTCTCAGCAGACAGAGATGGAGGATGGTGAGCGCGCTGTGAACTCTCCCCTGAGACTATTTTCATTAATAGTTTCTGCCAATATTATCATAGTTTGTTAAGAATGTCAGTGTTGTAACTCTGTGTCATTATCTGTAGCCGTTACGGACTGACATGTGGTATTCTCTTACATCTCTCGGATGCTAGTTAGCATGTAGCAGAAGTCCATCTATGCTAACGTCACAGCTATTATGCTCTGAATTTTATTTACGCCCTATAGGCTACTGAGCAGTGCTGCTGGAACCCCCTCCCCCTTCTTTTAACACTCCTTTTTCTCCCCTCTGCTGTATGATTTTTTTGCTACCCACTTCCGAAACCTCGGTTTCAGAGACATCTTTAAAGGGAGGCTGAAACTAATTCTTATGCTAGTTAGCGTAGCAATTAGCAGGATGTATATTGGTGCTGCTGTCTAACCACCATGAGCAGCTGAAACAAGTGACATCTTGATGATGAATAGATCTGCAACAATTCAAAAAATTAACTATTTATTCATTTTAAAGTAATTTTTCATGCAAAAAAGTTGCTTTGATATAATATTAAAGGAAATATCTTTGGGTTTTGGACGGACAAAACAAGACATTACCTTAAATTTGAGAAACAGGAGTGGACATTTTCCACAATTTTCTGACATTCCGTGTATTATTGTAGAGAATATGCAGCAGATAATGAAAATATTTGTTATCTGCATTCCTACTGCTTTAGCTCGGTCTATGATTAGGCCTACGCAGATGGGTAGCCTACAGTAGACAAGCTAACAGTCATGCTTACTACATCAGGAAAACAACACAGATGTGTGTGTGTGTGTGTGTGTGTGTGTGTGTGTGTGTGTGTGTGTGTGTGTGTGTGTGTGTGTGTGTGTGTGTGTGTGTGTGTGTGTGTGTGTGTGTGT